TAATATATATTACGAAAATAAAGTATTCAAAATGCAGCAAAGACTAAGCTGATGACTTTAAAGAAAATTCTTCGCATTTTCGGGGAATTAATTCCTTTTCTTCAAGCAACAAAAAGAAAATGAGACCTTCCGAAAGGCATACAGTTTCATTTAAAAAAAAAAAAAAAAAAAAAAAAAAAAAAAAAAAAAAAGCTTCTCAGCTTAAGGTTTGTTCTTCGCCGAGACGTGAGTTTTTTTTTTAATGGGAGGGGATTTTTTAACATGCAGAAAAAAATTTAAATTGGTGTTTTCTATTCACTGTAACTTGTTACTCTAGCGTATCAGCCAGCTTTCGAATTTCAGTACAGATTTAAAAATTTGCTACCATTTTTAATGAAAAATGAATGACATTGTTTTACAGTAATATTTCGGTATTCTTTCGTTTATTTTACGGAAAACAATCCGAAAGATCTATTTTTTTATGATGATTAATGGAAATAAACAATTAAATTATGATGAACAAAAAACAAAGTATACAGAAATCATACAATGCCTAACGTAGTGACCGAATAACAATTCAGAACTGCAGCATATTCACATGCAAACTTAAAATATTAAAATAGAGAAGAAAAGTAATTTTTACATCAGAACGAATATTTTAGAAGCTTCATTCCTAAAATATAATATCAGCTATAACAGTTACCATCTTTACCTCCCCGCTATCGTAATACAAATACAGCTTATTCAGATTTAACTTACACAGACAACTAAGTAACTGAGTTTTAAACTAAATTTTTTTTGGCTGTGTTCAAATGCGCTATCCCCTAAAAAAAAAAAAAATCCCTCACGGTTTTTGAGTTTTTAAGCATTTTCTACCCCCTTCCCCCAAATTAAAGCAACGGTTTGGTATAAGTTAGACTGAATGTTAAAAATATATTCAAAATAAAAGATATGCGTATAAGTGTAAACTAAAAATATATTTATAAATAGAAGAATACAAAGTTAATATATTTTTTAATGAAATAAAATATTTAAAAGGCTATAAAATTTAATTTCTAAAAAGCGCTATTAACTCTTTACCTGCTAAAAAAAAAAAAAAAATCTGCTAATGTCGTATCTTATTAGCTGTAGCCGTTTGATATAATCAGAAGCTCATTTTCTTTAAAAGTATAGAGGCGTATGCAGAGATAGAACTAGGAAATAAATGTTACGGAAAATTTTGTGAATTCATGAACTTGAATTATATTTTTATATCTCAATTTCTTAGCACTGATCACTGCTTTAAGCAAAAGCAGATTTCTCGCTATTACGTACATATTTTCGAAATTCAAAAACAAGTTTTTTTAGCAAAATATTCTTTCCTTGAATCCCATCGCTGTTTTTGACGCCTTTATTTTTTATTGACGCCTTTTGATTGCTCATCTTTTTCCACGTAACTCCAAACATAGTACATTAAGTGTTATTTAAGAAAAGATTGTGGATAATTTATTGTTCAAAATTTCAACATTTGTTAACTCTTTATTGTTTTACTATAGAGGATAAAGATCTTTATTTCTACATGATCCCAAACCTGGCTTGATATTTCCTAAACGTTAATGATTAATCATGTAACTGGAGCAAAAATGTTAAATATTGGTACTTAGAAAAATGACAACACAAAAGAGGATACACATTTTTAATAAGATTCTCCCCCTTCTTATCAGATGCATGAACTAGGTCTTCCGTGCTTGAAAAGATTAGGTCATCATCGCAGTTTCACTTCTTTCTCTAATAATTTTTTTATTAAAACTAAGTATTTATTACTGTAGCAAAATGGTTTCCATACACGGATTTTCACTGAAGCGTATATCACTGAAGCACAATAGAGCGATATATGCTTCACTTTGAACTTCGATGTCAAACTTATAGCTATGCCATGCTGCACGTAAGAACAAAAAATATCCCCCCCCATCGTTCCAGCACAATAGATAAATTAATTACTGGACTGTAACTTATTTAATGCAGATAACAGACTGCTCTTGCGCTTTTTCATGTACACATGAATAATTTTAGAAACAAGTATATTAGTTTCTAATAACCATCTTCATCGAGTGTAATATATTACACACAAGGAACAATTACGACAATACGGTTCGCGCAACATCGAGTGGATAAGATAACTGAACAGTAATAGTTCAACCTGGATAGGAATTAAGCGAAAGAAATGGATAAATATCACTGAACAGAAATAATTCCAGCTGGATACGAATGCAGCGAAAAGGCTAGCTCTGAGCATTTTAGCAATTTCTTTTCATGCATAACGTAAATAGGAACACTAACACCCTTAGAAAATTCTCTGTGACGGTATCCTTACCAACTAGGCAGATAGCTGTCGATTGTTAAGCCAAAACCGATTAAACAGAGATGCAGACAAACTAGACACTCTGACAAGACAGGCGTAGTGTTCTGGCAGATGTTCATGATGCCCATTTATAAGAAGGCAGAATTTTAAAGAATTAGAAGGATTTTAGAACTTTGTGCCCAGGCCTTGGTGGTAATCAAGCCCTAGTCACACAACTAATGAAAACAGGGTATGAAACACGACGCAAAGTTAAAGAACTCAAAATGGTACTTTCTGCGAAGAAGGAGAAATCATTTGTGATAGTCCACTACTTTCTCATATTTTACAAAAATAAAAATTTACCTTAGTTTCTTAGAAACACTTAACGTATTAGGAATGAAAATCTAAAGTTTCGCATCATTATTAAGGAGTCTTAAGATGCAGAAGATTATAATATCTAAGAAAGGAATTCTTCCAAGAAAGTTAGTGATTTTGAGTTCATCATGTGAGTTAAAATTTTGCGAAAACGCAGAAATTTCCGACATTTTGCATACTTCGAACATTTTCTTCTTGAGGGAGGAGATATTTGTTTCAACTATAAAGCAGCTAGGTTCATGAATTACTTATTTTCATTTATGACTTTATAGCGTTCTTATACACCAAAACACCAATACCGATGAAAACCAATAATGCTCCCGGGTTCGTTTCAAGGCGACTCAATGACTGCCAACAAGCAATTTTCATTGTTTTCCCCATATGCCAAGTATACAACGAACCCTATTCTTTTGAAAAAGTTTTCCACAAAGGCAATTTTCCTTAGCCAAAGAGCCCTCGAACACCTTATCATTATGTACTAACTAAGCCTACCTCTGAATTCTCGTGTCTATTATGATGCTCATCAAGACCATATACGGTGAAAAGGAGTATTAATTTATCAATCTGTAAAGATTTTATAACTTTATTTTCAAGTTTTGGCTACTATACCCTGAAACACATGATGGGGACACAGAGCTGGTAAAGCATTAAGCAATATAAGCACTTCAAAAAAAAAAAAAAAAAAGAGGCGCCTCCCGAGGGGGGAAAAAAATAAATAAATAAATAAATAAAAGCTGTTTAATAAAGAGGGCACTAAAAAATTTCCCATTGCCGCTTTTACCATGGAAAACATGGAGTATCTAAACTAAAACGGACAAAGAGAAAGAATGAAGGAAAATCTGGTGGGGACACCAGAATCTTTTAAGCACTTACGGCCTCTAAAGTTTTAATCCAGCCCTTACAGGATATTAAAATATGGTATTCATATCTTGAAACGTAAAAATGAAGACATAATACAAGTGGAACTCCTCCAAACCTTAAATAACAACTTGTGGACGCATGTTGATACAAAAACAACAGTATTTTCATTTCAAACAAATAAAATGGATGTTTAATAGGCTGCATATTTTGTTATCTACTTTCTACGTTACATTAATCTGATTATGTCTGCAAAAATAAATTAAAACTGCAACAATTCACTGTTTAATCTAATTTCTGAACATTATATTCAAATAAAGAGTAACTACTTTATTTAAAGAGCTGATAAATATTTCTCTATCGATCAATTTGTTTAAAAAATAAGGATACATTTAGTAGGTACAAATGGAATATTATACAACTTAAATTTAAAAAAAAAGTACAATTTGTTATGCCAGAGAAATGCCAAAGCTGTGACTTCAATGGTTCCAAGCCTCTTCTCAAACCACCACATTTGAGTTAAAGGAAATACTTTTTTCCGTATTGGGATTGTGGACAGGAATCACCCACCCCCCCCCCCAAAAAAAAAAAAAAAAAAAAAAACCTGTGCAATTTTTAAAAGCTCAGAATGCCTTTCGATATTTTTTTTGGAAGAACTGAAGTACTGAGGCAATTTTTTATGAAATTATACTGTCTTAGTATCTTCATTCTCGTACGTATTCTCCAAATTGTAGAAGTGATTAAAACGCCTGTTAGCATTAATATCGAATTTTTTTACCCATCATGTATTCGATGATAACTCAGTTTCGTACTAGAGAAGGTTTCAAGTTTCATCCATTTGAAACAAGAAAACTCCTTGCATGGCTCAATCCATATATCCAGATATTCTAAGCAAACTTTATTCATATTTCCCACAGCATTTCGGAAGAACTGACAATGACATGACGAAGACCTTTGGCCATATATTGCCACAGAGGTTACCAAATGCATAAAACCAACAGCTTTCTTGAGATCTTAGCCGATTTTGGATATTAAAGATAGAACTTATCTTAAAGAAAGATACAAAGATAGAAATTAAGCGGAATATTAAGGGAGTGCATATTGTCGAAATAGTGATATGAATAATAAGGCTATGAATGTCGAAATTTTTATGAATGAAAATAATAGTAATTTTAAAAAAAAAAGAGAGAGAGAGAGAACGCGATTTGTGAGGGGTACTCTATGTTACTATAGCCAGTGATCTCCAACTATGATTAATTCTTGATTGTTTGAGAAAAATTTCTTTTCTAATTACATTTTAATGCGCTCAAAATATTAGGGACGTCAGCAATGGAATAAAGTACTGAACAAGAGTGCTCTGTACCTATATGAAATTCTAAATGCTTTAATTTTAATCCTAGGATAAAAAAGTTAAAAAAAACTTTTAGCAAAAAATCGTACTGATTATATTTAATGTTTTCTTTTACAGTCAGCCGGCACACCATCTAGTCGGAGGGTTGGATCATTCTACAAAAGACGTCCATATTCCAATCCTATGCCAGAATGTGCGTCCCAACAAGTGTGCAATGCTGTGTTCATGCGCTTGAAATTCGTCCAACCACTGTGCAGGTGCGCAGGCGCATTCACAAGTCCATGTTCAACAAGAATGAATCCAAACGATGGACACACAATAAATCTCCTATCCGACAGAGAGGGTCAGGTTTGTGTTATCCTAATTTTCATTTTGAAATAATTTATGTCGTTCGTTAGAATATGTGGCCATAAAAGGTGAAAAATTCTCTGTTTCAATTAATATAGCTTCGCATGCAGCAGTAAAAAATACTTCCGAATGTCGCAAAAAAGTTCTCCTCTGAGACTACGACGAATGGAAAATATATTTACTAAAAGTTTATACAAGGATAAAATGGTCGAGAAAATAGTTCCAAGATCACCAACCTCTTCATATAATTTTAGTCGGAAGGTGACTCTAAAAGAATACGCAAAAGGCAAACAATGTTAAAAGAAAATGATTTCGAGTCAACAGAGAATGACAAACAATTTTTCAAATTCATGTGTAGTTATACAGGGTCCTTAAACATTGAATCGCTGATTTTTCTAGCACAGAATAAAATATCTGTCAGGCAAAAGCTACGCAGAAACAGACAAGCTCGTTACTATGACAGTTGGGCTTATGGATTATGGAAAACAATGTAAAGGCAGCCAATCTGTCTCAGCAGAAATACTTTTATGAATGTCTTTCTAAGGGAAACTAGTTTCTAATTATATTACATATGGTTAAAACCAGGAAAATATTCATGTTGACAGCTTTTTTCCTAAGACCCGGGACTTATAATACTAGCGGCCTTACTTACTTTCCATTACGGGTGTGACGAACCTGCACTTTTCCTTGGCGGCCCGAAGGGCAAGCACAAAACATCCGGTGGTTCAGTTTTTCTAATGCTATTTATTATTCGTTATATTTACATATTTACAACTGTCCTATTGTTAGGTGGACTACCTTCACAGAAATCATGTTGCCTAATCAAACGACATTTCGTTTCTACTTACATGCATTACGCTACTGCCAAGCAGCGCCCTCTTCTTCTCTCTTTACAAGAACGGGTCAATGGAAAAACTAGATTGAATCATTTAATTAATGAAAAGCATACACGGGGTACCTATTTAAGGACAGGGATGCTTTTCTGGAGAACATTTCTGAGGGGAAAGTTTTTAACACTGCAGAAACTCTCCCCTCAAAATATCTGAAAGGTTTCAGATTTTAAATTACGTCTTTTTTTTTCCACGTTTTGTGTGTTACCTTTATTTATTAAATATTATGTTCTTTGACTTAAACCATAAAATTCAGTTCAATAGCAATGTCGCAAAATAATTTTAAAATGAGCATAGCTTTAGAATTTCCGATACACAGTTCCGCACGCTGGAGATAAAAAGGTTTCCCCCCCTTAGAGTGCTCGCTTTGAAATCCTTGAGTTTGTTAATCAAAAATTCGTTAAAAATTTACCAAATATGAAATCGATAATAAAACAAATTCCAAATTTGGTCTTCCACATGACCATATTCGCAGGAGGATTACGTCGTTCAAAATTCGATGGCTCTATGTACTGATGTTTTATCACAATGCGTGAAATATACATACATTTATGGAGATTTTTCATTATTTAATTTCTTCAAATATATGCAGGTCTCTTAACATTTGGTGGCAACAGTTCGAAAAGTGAAACGGACATTTATAGTGATTCAACGCAAAATCGCAAAAAGAAAACAATAATCCTTCAGGAATAAAGCCCATTTGGACTAATAAAATAAAAATAAATAAATAAAAAGTAGCAAGAAGAAAGTAACTCTAAATATGCGCAATCGATTAAGAACAGATATTAAGTGAACTAAAAATAAAAGATATTTTTCACTTCTCTGGATGAACAACTTTGGCATCAGAAGAAAGGCAAACAGCAATTATTTTAGAATAAATATGATACAAACTGGATTTGCTGAGCGTTATCGGAATATTAAGAGAGAAAAAGTAGAAAACTAAGCAATTCAGTTTCAGAAGAAATATATGAATATCAGGATTGATGTATATGGAATATATGATATCAGGATTCATAAATATGAATCACAAAACATTCGCCATAACATCGTTACCATTTAAAAAATATCACATACATCGTACAGCAAACCAAATATACTTTAATCTCCTGTAAACTTAAAATACCAGTTTTTGTAGGGTAAATGAAGATTTTGATTGCAAGTATTGATGGAGATAAGTTAAATCTTTTACAGTGGATTTTTATAATAATCTAAATGAGCAACTAATTAAAAATCCTAAAATGTTTCAACGAAGTATCAGACACAAGACTTATGCTCACTTTCAAATTTCTAACAGTCGGGTAGCTACAAAAGGACATCTATCCATGGCCGTAGAATCAAGGGCGCACGAAATTGAGAGTACGAAATTTTAGAATTGTATATTTCCCATTCTTAGGAACCAGGATGGTGTGGCGAAATCTTTACCGTAGCCGTTTTGAAACCCTAGCTACAACTCTGATATATAAACTATAAAATATTTAAAATTGCATGCTATAATTTTACATCAAATGTATATATGATTCTATGTATGATGTAACAAAATAGATATGATTTTGTTATTGCAGAAAACCCAAACACTTGTAAAGGTTTGTGAAGATGTGAGCTCAGTAAAGATGTGTAACCAGCCACATGACTGGATGTTATTAGCCTTACAGAATGTACGAACAGGGAAGGCTCATTATTTAGTTGTATGCAAATGTCCATCATATGCAGTGATGGAAGGTCCAGTACTTCATACACAGCCACCATATGCTCGCATCCCTGGAATAAGTGTCTATGGAATGTTATGTGTTCAAGGAAGAAAAAGCCGATTACGGAAAGAAAGTAAGAATATATTACTTCCTTCGTTTCTTTAAATACAATATATGTGTCTGAAATTATTTTGAATAATAATCAGCAATGACTTCAAAATTAGCATTAGATTTTAAACTTTTAGTGAAATACAAATAAAATCTACTGGAATAAATTTTTTAAGTAATAAGGGTCAAATAAAAAGTCTGAATAGAAACATTGGTGCTACTTTGGTAGACGGTTGCACGGATTTTGGCGATTGTTTTTCGGCGAGCAATACGACTTATGGTAAACCCATTGCTAGACAAATTGTTTATGGTAACCGATATTTTGTTGTCATTTATTTAAAAAATAATGCGTTTTAATTAAATGCATAAATTCCGTGTTTTTAAAATATTATTATGACTTCAAATAATAAAAATGAATTTAATTTTGCATTTTTATTTGAATAAAAATTTTATTGTTTATGATATTTTATGGCATTTTTATGTTGTGAATGACGTCCCATTATTTTAAAAGTAATTGGGTTTTAATATCTAATAAATTTAATCTAATATTTTAAACATACTTATGGCTGTTAAATATTAAAAATACAATTTAATTTTGCAATTTTTTTTAAATATGATTTTATTATGAATGATTATCTAAATAATTTTAATTCTATGCGTGATGTAATCAGCTCCCTGATTGGTTTACTGAATATTTGTGCATTACCGCGCCATTTTAAAATTTTATTATTCATCTCTTCGAATTCCTCAGATTTCAAAGCGAATGGATGTCTCTGTTTCGAAGATAAATGTTTGTTTATTGGTAATTACCAAGAATTATTGGTATCGGCATAAAAAATTGCCGTTTGAGACCTTATTTTGGCCAACCTGGATTTCTTAATCAAAGATTTTTTATTGTTACAAGGTCAGAGGAAATTTATTAAAAATTTTTGGAAGAAACCTCGCTAATTGCTTCTTCAATGAAGTGCGAGAGATGGGAATAACAGATGAAGATCTTTTTTTTTCTGGTACTTATCAATATACTTAAGGTAAAATGCTTAAAAAAAATGTAAGTACATATTTTTCTTTTACTTTATTATTGTATACTTCAATTTTTATTAAAAAACTAATACACTTTTTTCAAAAATTCCTAAGATATTTATTGCCACATATGTTTTAATGTTAAATAATTATATCCTATAAAACTTATTTTAAAGGATTTGAATTTAAGTAATCAAATAAAAAATTTAATTCTTTTAAACGTTGGTTAATGTTTTTAATTGAATATTCAATTTAAGTAATATTTTATTCCAATTAAATGTTGGCGCAATGTTTTTATAGCGGTGTTTTTATTCTATTACATGAAAGTAATAATTTAACCTTACTTTAACACTTTATACTCTTAGTAAATGTATTTATTTACATTTACCAGCCATATTAAAAAACAACGTTTTCAACAAAAAATTAATCCATTATATTTAACGATATTTATTTTTTTAAAGTTTCGAATACTTTACTATGCGTGAAATACGTAAAAACAGCATTTTTCAAGATGGCTGACGACTGTAAAAACCGCGCCAACGTAAATCGCCAAAAATCCGTGCAACCGTCTACCAAAGTAGAACCGAAACATTTTTAAAAAGTGTATTTGCTGGTTAATTATCAAAATTTTTATATATTTTTATATCTGATATATAAACTATAAAATATTTTAAAATTGCATGCTATAATTTTATATCAAATGTATATATGATTCAATGTATGATGTAACAAAATAGATATGATTTTGTTATTGCAGAAAAGAATATATTTATAATAAAGATACAACAGCACGCCGAACAAGTATTAATTTAGCAGTCAAACAGCGTTATTTTCAAAAATCAGCGTTATATTTTCAAATTTTCACAGGTCTAGTTTTGATGGTTTTACCAAATCATCATTCTCAGCTGTAAAAGCGCAAATGAACGAGATAAGATAAGATAACATGAACAGGAGTCAAGCTACTGGCGCCATCTGTTGAAGAAACCAGAACTAAACCATAATTTCTTTAAATTAAATTCTTTAATTTATTTAAATCTTTCTTAAAAATACGTGCAATTTTATAGCTAAGACCGGTTGCCTTCCACCACACTTCAAATCATGTCATCCGACTAAACAAAAGTTAGCTTTTATTCTAACATTTTTATTCCTATGTTTTCCGTGCTCTTCAAGTTTGCTCCTCCAAACTATGAAGAACTAATTTATTTAAAAGCAGCTATTGACAAGAGCTTTTCACCCAACATTATTAATCAAACAGTTAAAAAATTCTCGTCTCAACACACCAAAAAGCACACTCTTGTTTTAGAAGATTATAAAAATTATGTTGTCATTTTCTTCTTTCCATCAATTAGCTATAAAATTGCACGTACTTTACAGAAATTTAACTTTTGGGTCGTTTATTCTCCCATCAATAAAATTCCGAGTTCCATACTCAAGGACCCCACTCCGGATATGAATTCCTTGGGTATTTACAGGATTTCTTGCCAGTGTGGTTTAATTTACATTGCTCAAACTAAGACAGCCTTAAAATTTCGCGTTGATGAGCATGAGGCATATGTTAGACAAAAGGAAACACAAAAGTCTTCTGTTGCCCAGCATTGTTGGTCCGAAAATCACACTTTCAATTTTTCTGCTGTCAAAATTATTCAAAAAATATCTTCCATTGGTGAACTGGATTTTCTAGAGGCATTTCACATGAAAAAAATCTTTCTGTTCTAGTTAACGACCCTAATTCCAATCCATCTTTTCTTTAAAGAAATACTGTTTTAGTTTCATCAACAGATGGCGCCACTAGCTTAATTTCAGTCCAGGCTTTGTTATCTTATCTAATCACTACACCTTATCCTGTTCATTTGCGCTTTTGCAGCTGAGGAAGTTTGTTCGGTAAAACCATCGAAGCGAGTCCCGTGAAAATTTGAAAATATAACGCCGATTTTTGTTGTTTGATTTCTAAATTAATATTTATAATAACTATGCTTTATACTCATCGGTTATAAAATAAATTGTCTTCCTAAGAGTATATTACAATGAATTTGCACATAGATTTTTAATTATCATAATTGTAGCATGCATATTGGACAGAGATATTTGTTATTAATAAAGATCTTTTATTATCGGAGTTAGGCAGATTTTGGGGTAAAAGAAGTCGCTTAAAACACGTCGATTCCGACTCCAGTTTTCGTTAGACAGCTTGAATTTGAAATGAAATTAAAACTGGGGTGAGAGGTAAAAAAATTAATAATAAACTGAGTTATTATTTGTATTTATGGACTATATACATTAGAAAGTATTTAGCTATTTTATTGACACATTAATAAATAAATATAAGGGAGGAGGATGGATGTGATATTTGCCATTATTCATTAAACTGATTAGTTACTTTTTCAGATCATAGACGGCATTACTGTAGCATAATTCGCAACATGAAAAAGAGCCAGTGGTTGCAAAATGCATGTTGAGTCACCAAATTTGAAACTCAAAAGGACCTTGTACTTCTACTAGTGGACAAGCTTACCTCACTAGTTTTTTTCACTACAGACAAGATAACTATAACTATGACTGCTGAGAGCTTTAAAAAAATCTCATTAACTTAGCTGTACAAAATGGTGTACCCCTGTTATGTACTTTCGCAACCTGCTTCCTGTTGAAATAGCAGCGAAACTTGGGATTTCATTAGACAGGGAAAGTGTGCGAAAACTTATTCTCAATGACGCTATGAGCCAGAAACAAAATTTGAAAGATAACCTCAGAGGGAAGTTCATATGCATAAAGATGGACGCAGCTACCAGACACAGAGTAAACTATTCTGCAATTCATGCTAGACTTATTAATAATGATGGAGGATGGTTATGAAGACACTGTCAGTAAAAGATACTGAAGCTCATAAGAAATTAATTGAAGGGGTCAAAAGAATTTGAAATAAGGAAAGGGGAGAATCTTTGCATAGTTACTGATAATGCATCTAATACGGCTAAAAAAATATAGAAGATGAAGAAATTGTTACAATAGATGAAAAAAGGACTGTCTTAAATATTGAAACTTCTCAAGAATATTCACACGAAGCTTCAGATGATGTTGCCGAAGAGGCATCAAAACTGACAAATCAAGCAAATGCGTTGTGCAGTCCACACCTTACAGCTTGTCGTTAAAGATAGGTTGAAGAAACCTCATACTACAAATTTCATTGGTAAATTTAGGCAAGCAGCAACAGCAGCAATAACTCCCAAAACTGATGCCATCTTTAGGATGCTAGCAGGAAAACGAGCAATTATTGATCAAGCAACGTACATATTAGATGATAAAGAGGTTGTTAGAATTAAGAATTTTTTAGAAGATGTAAATAACCCTAACTTTTCACTAAAAAAAACATTGTGGAATGATCTTGCAGAATTGGAAACTCTTCTTTCTACACCGTATTAAGACGTAGAAAAGCTATATCTGAAGAATTAACAGGAGGCTTATTTCTGTGAAAATGGAAGAAGGTGATATTTGTTCTTTGTAAAATGGGAGGGCTTATAGCAGAAAGATTCATTTCTTCAATGTAGAAAAGAGAAATCAGTTTTCTAGACAATGAGATCTAGCTGGATTCGATACATGTAGATCCCAAATAACGAATTTTGATGCATGATGAACAAGTTAAAACGGCAAAGAAAGCCATCTATGAACTTTCACTAAGAATGAAATTATTCTCAGAACAGTTGGAGTATTCAAATCAGGACAGTCTGACTGCAGACTGAGTCTCCATCATCCTCTTACAATTATGAATTAGATTTTGAGAAATATTTGGATAATATTGAAATGGATAAAATAAAGCGAATTAAAATAAAGAACCAAGAGCCATTAAAATAAAAATGAAAAAATGCAGATTTCTACACAGCTCTTGAAGAAATAGAGAATTATAATCACTCTTGCAAGACACCTCTTTTAGAACTTATACAAATCCGTCCTGAAAAGTTAAAAAAAGTAGCCCTAACAGTGACAGCTCTTTTTCCTTCTCAAGTTAGTGTGGAAAGACAGGGGCGTAGCTAGAGGGGGGCAAGGGGGGGCATCTGTCCCCGGGCGCAGAATCCAAGGGGCGCCAAACTGATGTTACGACATTTTAGAATTAAATGTTTTCCATCCTTGGCAAGCAGTAGGGGGCACGAAATCTTCAGTTGTCCCCGGGCACTGAAAACCCTAGCTAGGACTCTATGGAAAGATCATTATCAGCTCTGAAGTTTATCAAATTGGATCTATGGTCCTTATAAGATCTTGTCAGAGCTAGACTGCTTCTTAGAAATTACTAATGTCAGTTTTTCCACTTCATAATAAATGCTAATTAGTATAAATAATTTGCTATCAATTTTTTTCTGTGCATCTATTATTTCTTTTATATTTTAAAAAAAATAAGCTCTAGCACATGTGCTATATGTTTACACACATATGAGGGAGTCGATCATTTTACCTGTCGAATCAACAGCCTTGGTAATACTTATAAAAATTTTCCCTCCCTTCTTTTTTAAATTACCATTATTAACAAAAATACTTTGAATTAAAACTAACAATAATTTTAAAATTTAACCATGCTCATGGTTAAATTTTAAAATTATTGTTAGCATGACCACTTTGTTAGCATGACCAGAAGCATGACCACTTTTATTCGGTCATGAGATTTTTTTTTTTAAAGCTGGTATACATATGCTTATAATTTGAATTACTTATTTCAATGATATAAATGTCATCTTAGTAGAAGCTGTTAGAATACAGTTCATCATGAGTAGATCTGAAAAGCTACTCAGAAGGTTAATAAAATGAAATAAACAAATTTTGTTATAAACTGGTTTGAAAAATCTACTTGCAATTATGAGATGCAAACTAAGAACCCATCTAGCTCAAAGATGAGGGAATAAAGTAAGAATTTTTTTATTTAAAAATGAAAAATGAAATAAAAAATATTATCATTACTTATGCAGGAATAAACTGAATTAAAAAAATTTAAAGAGCATGTTTATGTATTAGTAATGCAGCGCCCTAAGACTTTTAATGTCTCTTAATTTCATGAATATACATAAGCATCCAGAAATAATTATGTTTATTTTAAAGAAAATATATTTATAGACAGAAAACTTCTAGGAAATAAATATAAAAATTGATATAATTATGATTAAGATTAAAATGTTTTAACAGATATAATGTCTTAAAAATATTCTTCTCAAATGATTTGCTTTATTTAAAAACAACAAATAATAGAATACTTTATTATTAATAGTATTATTATTAATGGTATGGATGTTTTTGTCTAATTTAGAATTCTGAAGTTCTATCAAAACTAATTTCAGTCTAATCCAGCTACTAATTTTTGGGCTATTCTTTTCAGATTATCCTCCAATGCCATGGGACAGAATTATTGGAGTCTATAATTCTACAATGAGTTCAAGACAGACAAGAATGAAACTACCTATTCTATTATAAACTTAATAATTAAAAGCAATAGCACAGCCTAAAATGACATGAAATAATAAAATTTGCGAAGCAAGATTAGAGACAAAAATTCAAAGTACAAATATAGATAGAATATAAAAAAATCAAGTCAGATGGTAAAATTCATCTGGTCATAGCAAGATTCATTTTTTTTTCAACCTACATAGCAAAACACTTATGTTATATTGTTGAGAACAAATCATTCTTGCCAACTGGGGAAAAAAAAAAATTTTTAAAAAATCCCCCTTTTCAATCTATAATGTTTACCGGTTAAAAATTCAAACTGTCAAAATTTTTATGTTCTCAAAGAGAAAGAAATTATAACACCATTTGAAAATTATTAAACGAAGTTTTTTAAATTCTTGCTAAATTATATACATGATTTAGAATCATTCTTTAGCTCATCAGATAATAGTTTGTAAGATACAGTAAATCCCGTGAAAATGTGACTGAAACTGTGGCATGAAAATATTAGGTTGACTTTTAAATACAACATCATAATTAAAACTGATATATTTTTGTAATATGTGTTTAACGACAAGCAGCAAAGAGAATTTTATATTGCACAACTGAGAAGTAATATGTGCAATTAAGGAGTTCACGCATTCCATTCTGACACATGATCTCGACTAATATGCAAAAATTATACAACTTTTTTCAGTATTACTTTTAGTATGTAATGTAAATATTTAGATATTTAAAATGTTTACTAATGAAAAAAAATCTCACAAAATTATGTGTTTTATATATTGAATTGCATATGCTTAGGATACCTAGTCTAATAAGCCAGAAACTACATGATGCTCACACCAAACATTCGTATTATATGTCTACAGTTAAATAAAATAGGAAATTACATGGTCAAATAACATGTAAGAATTTGATGATGGAATTCATACATGTGTAAAATCATTTCAGATATTTAAATTAGTTTCATTATTTAACTGTTAAAAAAAAGGAAGCATCAAATATACTACTAACTAAACCGAATAAAAACAAAATATTTCAAAATTAATATCAGTTATTAGTTTTGTTTGCCTGTTGAGCTTGATTAAACTTTTGATATTCTAAACAAGTCAGGCTTAAAACTAGTGCATTGAAAATTATGAAATCTAACTTTTTTATAAAACAAAGATAAAAATTAAAAGCACATTGTTTGGATGATTAAAAAAAATAGCAATCTACCATTTACAGAAGTGCCATGAGCTATGATATTACATATTTAACAAATGATTCAAAAAAGTGTAATGCATTCTAACTTATAATGTATTTATTTTGTTATTTATTGTCTTAAGAAAATATATGAATGGAAGATGAACAGTAGCACTCAAAAGGGAAAAAAAAAAGTTCCTTACAGTTTTGTTCTTTTGTGAATAATTTAAGAACAATAAATCGTGTAACAGTTTATGTTTAATAAAAGTGCTACCTGTTTGCATTGTGTAATTTTATTATTATTATTATTCCCATTCAAAGAATTTAAAAATATGTACCAATCATGCACATCAGTATGCAAAAACGTTACAAATTTAACTTTGTTTAACATAGCCATAAATACTAAGCATTGATACCGCAGGTTTAAGGGTTAAATAAATATAACATGAAAAACGTGGTTAGGTAACGGTCATTTTACTCTGATAAAAAAATAAAGCAATCTAATAAAATGAACACATTGAATAATAAAAAAAGATACAAGGCAAACTCTCTTTAGACCAGTCATATTTTACAGCTGATTTTACTTCCTTAATTACATTATTTTCTTTTTTTTTTACATAATTATGAAATGGTGCAAATCATGTTAAAATAAAAATTGCTTCAGATGTCTCTATTGATAACCTGTTTATTATTTGGGCTGACTATTAAGTTGTCATTACAGAAAATATGCTCTCCAAATTTGTCTGGAATGGCAAATACGTATTTGCATAGCTTTTTAACATACATAACTTCTCATCATGACTACTTTATCTGCAAGTAGTATAGTTTGTATTGCCGTGCACCGGCTGTCTCAATACAGAGATTAGGGAGAAAACGAGACAAATAATAATACGGAAGTGAATAGATAATATGATGACAGTCCCCTATTTATGGGACTTATTTACATAGTTAAAGTTTATTTTAAATGTATACGAGGCACAGAGATAGTCGAAGAAAAGAAATTAAATCAGGTATCGTTAAAAATTTTGTTCAGATAAAAGAATAACGATGACCATGATGAAATATCATATCCTAAATTTATAAAATCACTAGGCATTTTAATTATATAGTTAAAATTAAATTATTATTTCTAGTTTCAGTCATTTAAAAAATAAAGAAAAATAATAATAATATTTTACAATCAATAATGCAACAACTTTCCCACTATAAAAATTGCAAAAACTTCAGCACAATCTGGAATGTAAAATTTCACTGTTTCTTTATATAGTTATAAAGTAATATAGAAGGATTAAAATATAGAAATTTTTTATGATTGACTATACTATACAACTCTTACTAAATTGGGCAATAATTTACACTCCTCCTAGATAGCTGAGAAGGAAAAAAAGCACTTTTTGGTAATTACATATTTTCCCATCGATTTTTGACAAACAGAAACTGTTGCTAAACAGGTGATTTAGTGTCAGTCATGGGTAAGTACAGCATCACAACCCATTCGTAAAATCTTCCTTTTGGTTTTAAGTAACCCGATCCTTAATAAGAAAGTTTAATTTTTATACAACAGAATATAAGTCAACTGCTATTTTTTGACTCTCCCACCTTACAAAGTTCATCAAGCAGTGGGGTGTTTTCAAAATTCTGAGACTGGTTATACTGGCGTGAATACTCATAGATAACCTCTATAGTTAAAAAAAAATAACATGGTACCATTTATATATTTGCGTTTAAGTGAATTTGTGGCACCGAGTTTACAAAGAAGATGGATATATTTTGTATTTTAAATACCTTCAGGGGGCCCACCTGCGGCCGAGGGGTAAAAGCCGCTGAACACTAGTAGTTTGGTCCGGGGTTTGAGTCCTGGTGAATGGGCTGGCTGCAAGGGCGTTTTCATGGTTTTCCCCATGTATAACACGGATACGAGTCAGTTTCCCTTAAATTGACCTCCACGGGGCATCCCTTCCTTTCCATGTAGTGCCTAAGGGCAGAGCACGTAATGAGTTAAAAAATACCTTAAGGGATATTTTACTGTAGGGTTGATATTTGCAAATTTTAATGAAATTATCTGTCAGATAATCTGAAAACTTGAGATCATATTTAAACTTTCTTTTACATGTCATACCCATAACTTGTATCTCTAGGTTATCTAACTAAAACAAAGAGCCATCAGGCATGATGTATGCTGATTTTCATAGCTGATGGGAAAATACCGAAATACCAATTTTTTTTTTCCTTATCTAAGATTAAAAACTATCAAAGCCGGGAAGAATTTCAGATAAGCAAGTGAACACATTATTTCGGTGTCTTTAGCTATTCAGCGTTTATTTAAAAGTCATGTACCTGAAAATGCAAATAAAGTGCATTTCAAGGTCACTTGTTCATCTGCCTCATTGAGATGATTTATAGGTGGGAGACTAATTTTATCTCTAAATATTTTTCAAAGTACAACATGCCTAAATACCCAAACATTTTTTAACATATATAGTAAAGTAAATATTTATCCTAATATATATGTAATTTTGGATACTAGAGGTGTTCTGTAAAAATCCATATAATTAATTAAAAAGTAAAATGTGGTTAGTTGATAAAAATGCGCTAACTCAATAAAACTATTGACAGTGGGGATATTGGCAAAGCATATTTTACTTTCCTTAAATAAAGCTAAGACTAATTTAAATAAAATTCATGCTTTATTCCGTAAATTAAAATAAGCTAACACTGTAGCCTTTACATTTAAAATCATTTGAAGTAAAGAAAACTAGCATAATGCTAACTCAGAACACACACACTCGTTCCTAGTTCTGCTGATATGCCAGAATTATCATGCGAACTTGCATGACGTGATCCGCCGATACCGACGTACATACACTGCTTGACATTGAAAATGCAACACCACGAAGGAGTGGTCAGAAAGTGATGAAATTTGGAAAAAGACAGAGATAGCAAGCAGCAGTAAGTGATCTTTATTTCAAAATGATAGTCAGAATACAGAGCGAGAAACAGCATCTGCTCAGTAGGACATAGGACCACCGCAGACAGCGATGCACGAAGAAACATGTCCAGGCATAGAGTCAATAAGAGGGCGGATGGTGTCCTGAGAGATGGCTCTTCATTCCCTTTCAACCATTTGCCACAGTTCGTCTTCTGAATGAGGTAGGGGCAGAGACTGCAAACGGCGTCCAATCACATCCCACACATGCTCGATTGGTGACAGGCCAGGAGAGTACGGTGGCCAGGGAAGCATCTGTATACCTTGCAGAGCATGTTGGCAGATGCAAGCACTGTGTGGTGGGGCTTATCCTGCTGAAAAATTGCATTAGGTAGCCCCTGAAGGTAGAGGATTGCCACCGGCCTCAGTACATTATCAAAGTATCGTTGGACTGTCATAGTGCCCTGAATATGAACTAGAGGTGACCTGGAATCGTAGGCAATAGCGCCCCAAACCATTATGCCACATTGTCGTGCGGTGGGGCATTCCATAGTTACTGCCGGATTAACTCTGTCTCCACGTCGATGCCACACACGTATGCGGCGACTGTCACTGAATAAACAGAAGCGTGACTCTTGGTGTTGCATTTCCAATGTCGAGCAGTGTATATACATAATCGGCCAACCTGCCGATCTTGACTTCATCAACCAATCAGCGGCAATCTCGTTAGCTTACCGTCGACTGACCTCCGATCAAAATTTGCATAAGGAAAACTTAAGTCAGGTTCAGGTTCAGGTGGAAATGTAGTGGGACACCCAATGTTTACTATGAGTAATGTAGGTATAGTCCCACTACACTTCGGTTTATTTTTAAAGTAATACTCAAAATAGTACATAGTATAATATAACAGTATAAATAGTATGTCAATATTTTGATTGATATATCTATTAGATATAATTATAGTAGTTATAATAGCTATAATAATTATAGGCTAACAGTCATAATTTATAACAGTTCTTAATATTTCCTTGAGATAAAGTTAATTATATGAATTTGTATCTTCTTCCTCTTCTTTTTCCCTTTTTTACTATATCATTATTATTGCAAGGGTTTGTTTTTAAGATAATTAGATAATAAAAGTTTTAGATGAATTGCAGCTTCAAAAATGAATTTTGACATTAATTACATTAGTGCTCACATAAATTTTTGCCTATTGAAGATAGATATTTGATTGTATTTTCTATTTTATTTTTTAAATGTTTGTTGGTAATTGCAAAACGAAGGAAGGCATTGATATTTGAATTAGGCAATTTAATATGAGTTGACTTTGTTAAGGGACATTGAGTAATATAATGGATTGGATCACCTTTATTTCCACATACACATTGCTCAGAGTTAGAGATGTTGAATCTGAAGAAGTATGTGGGAAATGGCCCATGTCCAGTTAAAAAGCACTTTATATAACCATTGACCATTGTACATGTATCATTTACATGAGGTGCTATTTGATGTAATTGTCTTCCTGTATTTATTGTTGTCCATTCTTCTTCCCACATTTGGAGGCTGATTTTATGTAGATATTTCTTGAGGTATGATTTCGGCCAGGAGATTTTTCTTGAAGGGATATTATTGTTGGTAGTAGCTGATTTGGCTGCTGAATCGGCTTCTTCGTTACCAAGAACTCCGACGTGAGCCTTTATCCAAAAATGTTTGGTGATATTTGAGGATATTGGATAATTTTGTTAAAAATATCTTGAATTACTTCAGATGTGTGTTTGAGATTTTGTAGAGTAGAGCTATATTGCTGATTGACTATCCGAGAAAATATTGATTTTTTGTAAATTGTTATCGATAGAGTATTCTATTGCCATTCGAATTGCGTGTAATTCTGCTTGGAAGATACTATTTTCCTTGGAGAGACGATTTTGGAGAGTTATTTTCTGGGTATGATCAATTTGTATTACACATGCACAGCCAACTCCTCAGTTCATTTTCGATCCATCTGTATATATTATTGGTGGAGATATATGATTGGTTGGAGGTTTTACTGTGCTATATATTTTAGGATTAGAGGCAGGATGTCTTCTGTAGGGATTGACTGAAATTTCAAAATTGTTTGGATTAAATATTTCATCATGTAATATGCAGGATTTTTTTAATTTGAGAACTGTGGCTTTTGCATGTTCAGTTTGTGCTAAAGTATGAAGAGGTGCTATTCCTGAAAGTACACATAGGGCAGCATTTGATGTTGTTTTATAACATTTTGTGATCCGGAGAAGGAATTGACGTTGTATGGCTTGCAGTTGTTTTTGTTTCCGAACAGTCATAGGCTGCGCCCAAATTTCTGCACCATATAA